GGGCAGTGACGTCACTCTGTTTGCCAACAGGGATAGTGTCTATTATGGGAGAGCCTACAGCCATCCCGTGTGCCTCACACACCACGAGGCCGTGTCGACAGAATCACGTCATGAACGAGTTCTTGGATCCTTATTTGTGTTTAGGAAAAAAATTTTTACAATTAGGAGTACATTGTACTTTACAATGGGAGAGCGTAAAGCCGGTCCCTTATGAAAGAATCCGACGCTCATAGATGAAGTACATGCTGATGAAAGGGGGAGAGCACTGTGCATTGGATCATCAATCGTGTCCTTCTCTTTTGTTCTGGTTAACAGCCTCTTATTCTGTTCGTATTAGTATGTTGTGTTGCCGCACCCACTGCTTAATTGGCGCCTAAATGTCATCGTTTTTTAGGCGTTGTGGCCTTTTATTTTGTTTGTTCCGGTTACCAGTCTCCTTCATACCACTTTTGCTGTTCTTATATGCTTCGGTTGCTACATCTGCTGTAGACGACGGGCGGTGGTTTATGGACGGAAGTACATTGTACGTTATTAAGGTGCTTCACCCCTAAAAAAGAAAAATGGCGAGCCCGGAAATGCAATAACGAGGCATGCTTCTACCTACCAAACGGGTGTGGTCGCTGGTACACAGCACACGTCATCTTGGCTGTGGGCCTTAAGTGCACTCGTTCACTGCAGCACTTTCTCGAGATCACTAGGTGAAATTTCTGACCATTGCCGTTAGCGCGATGAACATTGTATATAAGTTACGTCCGCGTCGCATGTTCCCTCCGTCCTTGCTCTTTTTATGCCCGCTTCCTGCTCTCCCTATCGCAGGGTAGTAAACTAAGTGCCACCTGTAATTTACCTTCCTGCCGTTCCTTGACAATCATGCACACCGCTAAAATTAAAGTTGAGGATTCCCATAGATTTGCGTGTCTGTTTTTGGTGAATTGTGACTTTCAGAAGGCTCCCACTAATACATAGTTCTTGGCCTAAGTTTTTTTTTTTTCGGAGCCTTTTGGGATTCCTTACACTTCTAGAAGGCTGCAGCGCTGCGCGAGCCCCTTCAGCAACAGAAAACGGTCCTTCATCGTTGATTACGCGTCCATCGTTTCCACGCTGCCACGGTTCTGTTTCCAAAATAAATAAAAAGACTATCGTTTTTAAAACGCCATGTAAGCAGCACATCGTAAACACCCGTCTGAAGTAAAAGTCAACAGGCAAGGTATGTATGATGATGATGATGATGATGATGATGATGATGATGATTTGATGCTGTTCCCTTTTTAGCGGGCGAGTGTAGTGGCACCCTAGCATATAAATTGGTGACAAAAAAACACACACACACAATCACGCTCTGCTCGAGCTCGTAACCACTGCTACACTGTATTCGCGTTCACTCGAACGCCGCCACTGGTCAGTTTCTTCCCGCCAAGCAGTACAAGGTAGTTGTGTGCGTAGCACGGAACGGTTCACCACTGCATCTTATCTCTTCTGAGCGGTGTCACTTTACTCACAGACACGAGCACGCGAGTTAAAAGCGCTGCACTGTCGAAGGCAACATGAAGGATGTGAAAGGGGGAGGTGGAGGAAAGTGTCGTTAGGGTGGAGGGTAGTCTATAGAGAGGCGCGACCCGGCCGAACACATGTGGACACTGCGGCAAAAGGTGGTGAAGCACCGGTGACGTCCGGTGAGGAAGAAACATGGTTTTGTTTTGCTGCACCTATATACTGGCCGGCTGTCAGCGTGGCGTGTTCCACGTCGTGACGTATTGCGGTGCTTGTTTTAGGAGCAGAACGATTGGATTCCTGCAATCTCCACGATGGATGCATTGCTCCGAGTTCTGTCAAAAACAAAGAACGCGGCACTAAGTTGAAGGATGTGTGGAAGCAGTGGGTGGGCCTCGTTCCGTTCCTTGCTACTTTTCCCGTTCGCTTTAAACATTGCGTTTCGGTTTTTTGTCGAACTGTGTTGCGTTGTATAAACATTGCGTTTCGGGTTTTTGTCGGACTGTGTTGCGTTGTACGCGATGATTCCTTTGTGGCCAGTCTGCTCATTTTCTTGGCGCCAGAAGCCTTATATAGTGTATAAAATCAAGCGTAAATGCGGGAAGACCGACCTGCAATGGCAGTCTTCGACAAAGTAGGAACGTTCGAGCTACTTATAGGTTACTAACACGTTCCCCAAAAAAGCGAAAAGGAGGAGAGGGAGGAAAATGTTTAAACTGGCAATGCCAGATAGCCCTTATCCCAACTAGACCAGTCAACATCCCTAGTCCGGGACGTCAGTAGTCGCAGCCGCCGCCCGAGCCCGCTGGACCTGAGTTCGCTACATGTAGATCTCTGTAGTGCGTAGCTATTGAGCAGGGTCGCATCTCAGTCCTGTTTGGCGGGTTGGGGATTAGGATTACTTTTGCGTTCATTTGCCAGGCCCAGACCATATACGGTAAGTGCCGGCCACTTCACCACACTGCCCCCTTATTTTTGGGTCGCAATGCCTGGACAGAGCGGCGTGTTAAACCGTAGGCGCCACAGAAAGCGATCCTCCGTTTTCTAGAGTTCGTTCGCTGGTGCGGGATATAAACGGCGTTGCTCATTGCAGTATTCGCCGATTTCTTGGAACCGTGTTAACTGTTTGGGACGTTCGGGCCTATCAGGGTAAAAGGGAGTCTTCAGGGAAGAGCTCGCGCCACTGCGTTTGAGAGCCTGCGAGTGCTATCTCACTGGGAAAATCTCTGCGCCTGGTTAATAGGATACTCAAATTTAGCATCACGGACCACAATACCCAAGGCCAAGACACAGATATTTCTACGAAAAACGAGATGATATTTAGCCTCCTTCTTTACAGTTATAAGGCATCTTAAAACGTTGAGGAGATACGTCGTTTTCACGAGGAGTTTATTTACTATTTCTTCAGTCGGTTCCGACGCCGCCTTTTACGTCGCATCACCCCTACTGCATGAGTCCCTAAAATTTTGAGTGATTGCTTAATCGATTAGAGAGGAATATATGATGGCCTAATTGGTCTTGTGTAGTGGTCCAGAAAAAAAAATCGTGCAAAAAATACAAGACAGAAACAAATATGCACGCGTGAGAATGGGGATCAAACGAAAATCTTGTGTTTGAAAGCATACCATTTTTTTTTCTGTGCTGCGTTCTCTCTATCTATTTGTTTTTACGCATATTCCACACAGCACTTGTTTGGTTAGCTTCAATGTATAAATTGGCAGCGCACAGAAATTACACAGAAACCAGAAAACGCGATCACTCGGTGTTGGTTTTCACCACGCGGCGGTCTGATTATCACCGTGCGTGAATGTGTTCATTTGGAATTCCACTCCGACACGACTACATAGTCGAGCTCTGGAACCAACTACCGTGGCGGTCCGCAACGAAGTGCCTATATACATCGAGGTATCACAACGACAGCTCCCCGACATCAACAATAATTGTGAGAACACGAACGTGCGAAAGGCACGTCTTCTACACTGTACCCTCACAGTAGCTGCGATATCGCCAAATAAACAGTCCCGCAGAAACGCGCGCACTTAAACGTAGTACAGTGCCGAAGACACTTGGGACATTTTCACACCCTTTCTTTTTTTTCTCTCTCTCAAAGAGTAACATCGAACAAGATGAGCATATCCTCGCGGCTACCGGCGAAGGTTCACTCTGTTCCACTTCCAGCGTGAGAGAGAGTGAGTGAGGCAAGAGGAGCCTCTCGGCGACGTCAAGGCACTCGCGTCCGGGAGAGCGGCTCATTTGTCTCGGCCTGACAGCTCTCCTGTCTCGCCTGTCTCGCAGACTCACGGCAAGACTCCTTCCTACGCGATGCTGCAAAGCACAGCAGAAGAAACAGAAGAGGTAGAGAGACCGTGGAAGAGACTCTCGCCAACGGCTGCCAACTCTTTGGTCGCACTATACGGCGGTCCCCATGCAGAATATGGAGCGCGCACGCGGTCTCCGCGCAATCTCGCGAGAATGCGCGAGAGCGCTTACTGTTTATCTCCTCTCTCGTACACACCTCTCCTCGCCGCTCGCCACTTTAACCTCCCCCGTGTACCTTTATCAAGTGTGCTCGGTTTGCTTCGTTTCCGTCTTGCGCCCGAAGCCCATCACGGCGCCGTGATAGAGCGCACGCCACTCAGGGCGAAGTGCCGCTGAGCACCCACGTCATTTGGCGACGGGGCTTTCGTCCGGCCACTCGCTTACACTGAGGAGGGAACGGAATGCATAAAAAATACGGACGCACAGACAGAGCTTGTGCACGGCGATGCAACGGGAAAATGTGCTAAGACAAACGAGCAATGAAGTGGCTGCCAATAACCAAACAGTGTTTGTGTGTGCGTGCGTGTGTACGTGTGTGTAAATAAATAAAGAATGAATAAAATTTGCGCAATAGCTTTGTATAGTAAGCAACTTCGCATATCATGAAAGCGCACGTCAAAGAATACCAGACGGTCAAAATTTCCGAAGCCCTCGACTACAGCGTCCCCCATAATCATATCACGGTTTGGGGACGCAAAACCACCTAGATATTATTATTAGTTACAAACATTTCAATTTGTTGCTACAGCAGTCATTGTGTCGTCCATGCTACGAAACGGTCACTTTGCTGTTTCTAACCCTGCGCGCCGGCGGTGTTTAAGTCACGCACAGTGTACGATCATATCGTTTGAAAATAACCTAAAGAACGTGTTGTGTTCAATAGCAGATAAGCCATAAAGGCTACGTTGTTTAAATTAACAATATATACAAAAAAGGCATTTTACCCCCTTTAAACCTGCTATCGAGCTCCTATTCAGTCTGGAGAAGTTGTACTGAAATTCGAATTTTACATCGATATAGTCGGTTGGATTTCGATCTCTATAAAAAGTATAATTATGCGAATGTTTATGAATAAATTCTGTCCGTTGCATGCGATGCATTTCAAGTAGAAGGCTTACTGCTGTTCCTTGTGTAAGAAATTATTAGGAAGTGTACTTTTCGTGCAGATCCTGGAAGAGTTGCACGCTCACCCTGTGGTTCTGGTAGGCGGTGACGGCGGTGAACTTGGTCTCAGGGAAGACGAAGGTGCGGAAGTTCTCCGTCTTGGAAATGTCCTCCCCTTTGCGGTTGACGTACACCACGTGACAACGGGGCTGGTACCGGTGCATCGAGTTGAGGATGATCTGCACCAGTCATGGCCCTCAGCTTCAGTTTAATTGTACACGCAGCGTGACCGTATGTACTACCAATACGCACGCGCGCTTAAAGGGGCCCTGCAACACTTTTTGAGCACGGTCAGAAAACGCTGCCGATCGGTAGTAGAAGCTCCCGACAACACGCGAGCTAAAAGTTATAGCGCAGCACGCGCCCTGAAGTTTACAATAAATTATAAAAGTCAGCTGAAATTTGCTTTCTCTTTTCTCGCCGAATGACGCAGGAAACTCAAAAATCACTCGTAGAAGGCCATCTATCAGCCATTGGCTGATTTGAACATGGCACGCTCGGTCATTACAAGGATCGCCACGAGAGGCCGCGATTTGTCCACGCGTGCACGCGCGATCCCCCTGAAAAAGCCGCGTTTTCGAAGAAAAAGTGCTCAAAATCACGAGGTGCGCGTGACGTATTATCTTTGCCCGTGCCACCCTTCCCTGCTTAGCTTACAGCTCTTTCGTCGGGACGAGAGAAGGGAGAATGCGATTGCAGCCTGTGACAAGTCATTGTAACTCCACTCGTACTGGACGGATTCATAAAATTTTTGTGGCCTTGAATTCGCGAGGCAATAAACTCTTTTAGTGAATTCGTTCTATGGTTACTTAAAAAAAGTGTTTCAGGGCCCCTTTAAGTGACACGCCGATTGCTTTAAATATATGCGTATCGAAATGCAATCATACGGTCGCAGATATTCGTGTCCGCGTAAACGTGGTGTTTATTGGAACGGGGACAAGAAAGAGTGCAATATAAACGAGCACTTTTTTAAGCGCATATTGCACTGAATATAATGCACTGAATATCAATTCAACAAAAGTCACGCGACTGAGCAGATTGCCAAAAGCACACCATCTTATCTCCTTGCCCGTATACATGCATGTAAGCAACATGGCCATGATTGTATCTTAGTGCGTACGAAGATTCTCCAATTTGGAAGTCAGCGTTTGTGTATATACCTTTCTCGATGTGTCACCCTTTTGTGTGCTCTGTCGCGCTAAGGATATGCTGACTGACGAGTGTGCTTAGTTCATGATGGCTGCCGAATCATGGACTCCCTACCGATGGTACCCGACCATGTCCTCGATTTCCCATTGCTGCAGAAGTGTGACAGAAGCAAGCCAAAGCGTCACTGTCGTATAGACGCATTCGCATACTTTGTGGGAAAAACTCGCTCTACGTATGGGTTAGTTTTAGTGTGTCTGCTTCTCTCAAACACTGCGTATTTAAAAAAGAAAAGGAAACGCGTCAGAATTGTTAGGCTATTCTGCGCTGGCACAGTTAAAACATTTCCTGGTGAATAAAACCGAGCAAAAAGTTCTCAAAGGAGCTCTCATACATCAGTAAGTATGATTTGTAAAATAGCGGGCCATAAAAACTTTATAGTTGAATATATCCCCATAACAGAAATCAGCAATCCCAATGAGAACTAACAGAAAGCACTGCAAAGGAAAGTATGCATGTTACAAGTAGTAAACGTAAAGAATACAAGAACGAAAAGATAGCTGGCGGTGGGCAGGCACCGTGATCCTTCATTAATATTGAGTGTAACAAAAAAAATCTATCCCATAAAATTTCCACTTATTTTCTGAATGAGGAAATCCGGATATGAGGAATCACAAATTATGGAGCAGGGGCTCCTTTGATTGGTTTTAAGTTTATGCGTGAGAGCAAGCGCTTAATATTCAAGTTCGCCAGCGTCATTACAGTCCGCCCCCATCAGGATGCGGCCCCTGTAGACAGGTTACTGAACCGGTGACCTCGTGGATGAAGCAAACAGCAAAAGGCCACCTTATCATATACTCTGCCTAACGCAGCCTCTGCTATTCCACACACTCTACCATGACCTATAGAGTTCCTGCATATGCATATACAGTGACTGTACCGTGTTGTGCCTCGCCCAAGTTCCACGTGGTCTTCGCGGCCTGCTGGCACCTGGCAGCTGTTGATGAGTCAACCCTGCACCGGGACGGCGACGGACGCGGACAATCGGGAAAAACCACGTCGCCGGCTCCTCTTGACACAAAAGTCGTTGGCCAAGCTTTTGTCAGCCGCCGAGAGCAACACTCCGAAGCAGCGTTGACTCAGCAGCTGTACGGGGTATTCTGCCTTGCTTGAGTCAACCTGGCTGCATCAGGGAGCGACTTTGCGCATGGGATTCCACGTCATCTCACTGTGGTGCCACGCTGGCGCGTGGGGTCTCCCTCACCAAACAGCGAACTGGGCATGCCTTGCCCCTTTCCTAGGTTCAGAGGGAGGCGGTGTTTGGCTTTCCCTCTTCGGGGACGGAGAGGAAGACGACGATCTCATTGGAGTATCCTGCGCATAAATTTTCTTTGCAAGGGATCTTGGGAAGGCGGACGATGTATAAAAACGCTAGCGCAGAGGCGCTCGTGTGTGATTCTCTTTTCATGTTGTACCACGCTACCATGTAAATACTGTATATAAACATTTTTTTCTCCTTCTCCGGCTTCTCTACTCGTCCTCTCCGGGGACTCGGATGGCCCGAGTCCGCACCACGCTACCCAAAGGCGCAACAGTGGCTGGCAGCTTATGGGATTCGCCTGCGTCGGCTGCATCGAAGTGGTGAGTGCCGCGTGTTTGCTCTTCTTTTCGCCAGACTCGTTAGCGCAGATGGTCGGTAACGTGGTAGGGTGATTTTGGTAAATTTTGATTCGCAGACCAAGAATTGGGTGGCTCGTGGGCAAAATTACCTTAGAAGAGAAACGGTGTGCATATCTAAGATGGAGAAGTTTAAGGTCCAAGAACTCCTCGAAATTTGTCAGGAGCTGAATATTTCGGTCGGCTCGGTTAAAAGAAAACAACAAATTTTGGAGCACTTGGGAAAAGAGGAAGTGAGTTTAGAAGAGGCCATTGAGGCCAGAGAAACCATTTTGGCAAAGAAAGAGGAGCGTGAGCGCTTAGCCCGTGAACAGAGAGAGGAGGAAATAAGGAGGGATCGCGAGGATAAAGAACATGAAATCCGTCTGAAAGAACTGGAGCTTCGTATGTCCGTGGGAAATCGAAATTCAGGGGGTGGAGAATCAAAGATAAAGGATCTAATCCACACCTTCAAGGCGGGTGACGACATTGCATTATACCTCGTGCATTTTGAGCGAGCATGCGAAAATGCAGGGTTTAGTAGGGAGACTTGGCCACAAAAACTGATATGCGTACTACCAGGCGAAGTGTCCGATGTTATCGCAAGAATGAATAAAGAGGACTCCGAGGTGTATGACAGGGTAAAGGCTGCATTGCTACGAAAATGTCGCCTATCGACAGAGGCTTTCCGCCTGCGGTTCAGGCACTCTAAGAGGGGCAACGAATCTCATTCAGACTATGCCTACCAAATTAGAGCCAACTTTGAAGAGTGGCTCAAAAGCGCGCAAGTCTATGGCAACCATGACAAGGTCATTGAGTTGATGGTACTTGAGCAGTTTTACCGGGGAATTCCCGAGGAGGTAAGGCTTTGGGTGCAGGATAGGATGAAAGACGTAGACATGAACAGGGCAGCAGAACTCGCCGAAGATTACTGCTCACGCCGTAGTCTCCGCAGTACACCACGAACTTCGGAAAAAAATGAAAAGGTAGAAAGCTGGTCGGGAAACCAGGGACGCAAGAGGTTTGCAAGAAATAACTGGAAACCCGAGAATTCCAAGTTATTAGACAGTCAGCAGGGAAAGGACAGTGAGGGGACTAAGGCGGCACCTTCATCAGGTTCAAAGGCGCCTGGTGACATAGCGCATGCGTTAGAAGCGCGGAAGCCAGTTGTTTGCTACAGCTGCGGAGAAAAGGGCCACATGGCCAGGAGCTGTAAGAGGCACATGGCATTTGCCACAATTCAGGAGTCAGAGGATAGCTTAAAGCTGTTGAAGCCTTACATGAGGACACTCTCAGTGAACGGCCGAATGTGTAGGGTATTGAGGGACTCGGCGGCCACAATGGATGTAGCGCATCCAAGTTGCGTATCTTCCGAAGACTATATAGGAGAGTGTGCCTGGATTCGGCAGGTGGCAGAAAAGCAAAGCGTCTGCCTACCGATAGCGAGGGTTGTAATCGAGGGCCCTTTCGGCCAATTGTGTACGGAAGCAGCAATTTCAGCCAACCTTCCGGAGCACTTCCCTTACCTATTTTCAAATAAGTCTGAGGAAATGTTAAAAACACGTGGAGAATCATTTGCCACCGAAATAGCTTGCATGGCCCTTACCCGTTCGAAGGCGCGCGAGCTGACGCAACAGCTGAGCAGCTCACCCTCTGGGGAACAGACGTCCGAGGGCAGTGTAGGAAAACCTGAGGTAGTTGCGACGGAAAATGAGTCTGCCATGCGAGTTGTCGAGACGGAAACTGGGGCTATGGTCGACAACAGCGAGGAAATATCTCTAACGCCCGAAAACGAGGACTTGGTGACAGGCTCGGTGTTAACACCCGCGTCCACCAGTTGGTGTCAGCTAGCCAGAACCGACCGTGCAACGCTAGTGGTCGATCAAAAGGCGGATCTCGCACTCTCTATACTGCTAGATGCCATACATAAGGAAGGTAACTCTAGGAAGAACGTTTCGTTCTACACCCAAAACGAGGTGTTGCATCGCAGGTATGAGAACGCTAAAGGGCGGGTCTACAACCAAGTGGTAGTTCCACTAAAATACCGGCGGAACATTCTCGACCTGGCCCACAGCAACGCCTGGGCGGGCCACTTAGGTATAAAGAAAACGAAAGCTAAGCTGGCTCAGGAGTTCTACTGGCCCGGGTGCTGGAAGGATGTAGAGATGTTTGTCCGTGAATGCGACACCTGTCAGCGGATAGGAAAATCAACAGACAAATGGAAGGCACCAATGAAACTAGTGCCAATAGTCACAGAACCCTTCCGTCGGCTCGTGATTGACATCGTGGGGCCTCTGCCTCCATCTAAATCAGGATATCGGTACGTCCTGACCGCGCTGTGCGTTGCCACCAAGTTCCCGGAGGCAATCGCACTGAAAGAGTTGAGTTCAGTATGCGTGGTGGACGCATTGTTGTCTATTTTTTCTCGGGTGGGTTTTCCCTCGGAGATACAGTGTGACAACGGAAGTGTGTTCACAAGCTGCCTTACGACTACATTCCTAGAACGCTGCGGGATAAAAATCGCGCATAGCTCTATTCACCATCCACAGTCGAACCCTGTGGAACGCATGCACTCGGTCATGAAACGCGTTTTGCGAGCTTTGTGCTTTGAGCATAAAAGTGACTGGGAGGGGTGTATACCAGCTGCGATGTTTTCTCTGAGGTCGGCCCCACACGAGAGTACGGGTTTTAGTCCGGCTGAACTTGTCTACGGCAGGAACTTGAGAGGTCCGCTGCACTTGATACGAGAGTCATGGACTGGATATGGGGAGGACCCTAATGTGGTTTCCTATGTACTGGATTTATTGGGGCGACTGGGGACTACACGCGAAGTGGTGGAGAGCAACATGCGCGCAGCACAGGCGCTTTCCAAGGCCCGTTACGATAAGTCAGCTCGAAAGCGAGTCTTTAGAGTGGGCGATGAGGTGATGCTGTTGTGCCCTTCAAGAAAAAACAAGCTGGACGTACAATGGGAGGGACCAGCGACAGTGATGTCAGTGCTTTCAGACACCAACTACGAGGTAAAGTGGGGCCGGAAATGCCCCAAAGTGTATCACAGTAACCTAATGAAACCCTACATGCGACGAAAAGCAGTAGTAAACCTTGCACTCAATGTTCCTGAGGATGAGGGCGCGGAAATCCTTTGTCTTTCCGATGGCACGGTCAGCAGCACATTGTCAGATAGGGTAGACCCAGGGAACACCCTAAGTAAGGCTCAAGAGGAAGATTTAGAGCTTTTAGTACAGGAATTCGCTACCGTTTTCTCCGAGAAGCCAGGCAAAACGGATGTGATTAAGCACGACATTGAGCTGACGGTTAACAAGCCGATCAGCTGTAAGCCGTATCGGGTGTCACCTAGACAGAGAGAGATACTAGAGGCCGAAATTCGCCGCATGATCGACCTAGGTGTTATCATCGAAGCAGACAGTGATTTCACCTCGCCTTTGATTTTGGTTGAGATTCCGGGCCGTGATCCAAGGCCATGCGTGGACTATCGCCGCCTGAACTCTGTAACAGTCGACCAGACTTACCCTATTCCTAACATTGAAGAGAGGGTAGAGACAGTGTCTAAGGCGAAATACATTTCTACGTTAGACCTTGTCAGGGGGTATTGGCAGGTCCCTTTGACAGAGCGCGCGAGTCGATACGCTGCTTTTATCTCACCCCTGGGCACTTTTCGTCCTTTGATGATGAGCTTTGGGCTCAAGAACGCGCCGTATTGTTTCAGCCGCCTGATGGATAAGGTTCTCCACGGGCTCGAGAAATTTGCGCTGCCTTACCTAGACGATGTGGCGATATTTTCGGACAAATGGGAAGACCATGTTGAACACCTTCGGATGGTTTTGGAACGGATCAAAAATGCAGGTCTTACGGTAAAGAGAGAGAAATGTCATTTGGGCTGTGCTGAAGTAAGCTATTTAGGGCACATTGTAGGAAATGGGCGTCGTCGACCGTCCGAACTCAAGGTAGCCGCGGTGGTCGGTTATCGTCGTCCCAACACTAAGACCGAGATGAGAGCATTCCTCGGCCTCACAGGTTACTATCAGCATTACGTCCCGAATTACTCCGAGATTGCCAGCCCTTTGACAGATAGTTTACGCAAGACCGAACCTGTGAACATTCAATGGGACTCTAAAAAGGAAGACGCTTTTCAGAAGCTGAAGCACGCATTGAGTGAGAAACCCGTCTTGAGGGCACCGGATTTTGCAAAACCTTTCACTATTCAGTGTGATGCAAGCGAACGCGGTTTAGGAGCAGTGCTATGTCAGACGGACCAGAGTGAAGAGGAGCGGCCGGTTTTGTATTTGAGTCGCAAATTGAGCAGCAGGGAAGAGGCTTATAGCACTTCGGAAAAAGAATGTGCTTGCATTGTTTGGGCCGTACAAAAACTAGGCTGCTATGTTGCTGGCTCTAAGTTTATTATAGAAACTGATCACTCTCCACTAACCTGGTTACACCAAATGTCACCTAAGAATGGTCGTTTGCTCAGATGGAGCATAGCACTGCAGCAGCACAATTTCGAGGTGCGCTACAAGAGAGGTGGCCTTCATACAAATGCAGACGCCCTAAGTCGAGCGTTTTGACTCGTCAAAAGACGCGGAAGGTTTGTTTGATTTTTTTGTTTACCTTTACCTAGTTTAGGTGTACTTTTTTTTTTTTCAATGTGTTACAGTGAGGGCATAGAGAAATTTTTTACTGACTCCCTCGTTGTCCCGAGCTCTACAGTTTGCTTGTTTAGCTTGATTATAATGTTATCTCGATTCCAAATGGAATTACGTATGAAAGAGTTACTGGACACTTGTCCCGATTAGTATGCACATTGTTTCCTTGAGCTTAAGTTATTAAGATAAGATGTTTGCTTTGTAAAATCTGAGGCCTGGCGATGAGAGTGGCGTGCACGCGGTGCTTGTCGCATTGTGTGTGGCTGACAAAGGTCGTTTCTTGGAGCTTGTCACCCACTTTTCACCGAAGCGGGGCGCAGAGGCCAGCTCTTGGAGCATTCCAGTTTGACCAGGCCCTTCGAGAAAGCAAGAGCCTTGCCGGAACGTCGCCGACATCGACCCGGCCGAGCTGCATGGAACAACTCGACCTCCCGATGTATCATCTGACGGCGGGGGTGCTGTTGTGCCTCGCCCAAGTTCCACGTGGTCTTCGCGGCCTGCTGGCACCTGGCAGCTGTTGATGAGTCAACCCTGCACCGGGACGGCGACGGACGCGGACAATCGGGAAAAACCACGTCGCCGGCTCCTCTTGACACAAAAGTCGTTGGCCAAGCTTTTGTCAGCCGCCGAGAGCAACACTCCGAAGCAGCGTTGACTCAGCAGCTGTACGGGGTATTCTGCCTTGCTTGAGTCAACCTGGCTGCATCAGGGAGCGACTTTGCGCATGGGATTCCACGTCATCTCACTGTGGTGCCACGCTGGCGCGTGGGGTCTCCCTCACCAAACAGCGAACTGGGCATGCCTTGCCCCTTTCCTAGGTTCAGAGGGAGGCGGTGTTTGGCTTTCCCTCTTCGGGGACGGAGAGGAAGACGACGATCTCATTGGAGTATCCTGCGCATAAATTTTCTTTGCAAGGGATCTTGGGAAGGCGGACGATGTATAAAAACGCTAGCGCAGAGGCGCTCGTGTGTGATTCTCTTTTCATGTTGTACCACGCTACCATGTAAATACTGTATATAAACATTTTTTTCTCCTTCTCCGGCTTCTCTACTCGTCCTCTCCGGGGACTCGGATGGCCCGAGTCCGCACCACGCTACCCAAAGGCGCAACAACCGTGACCAACGCAGTTACGCCATCTATGTGTCTATCGTTTTCGGGGTGTTCAACCCCAGCAGTTATTATTCTTTCACCGAGAAAGGCCACACAGCATACAGTCGTACTGCTATGTGATCTATTAAAAAGACCACACCACAACGAACGTTTTCGAAAGCACATTGCAAGATGCCAGTGTCCTCGAGGAAGAAATATCGCTGCCTATATACCGGATGTCACGTGTCTGTCACGTGACGGACAGATGAGGCCAAGAAGAAGCTTGTGGGATCGGGACAATTCATTCGTTTGACGAGGACTGGATATGCATCTAGGCATGACGTGCGACTAAATTTGCACTCGGTGGCTTTAGATGTTTTTAGTAATAGCATCTGGAGGGCATTTAGCGAGTATACGGTGAAGTGAAAGAAGTGACGAAATACAGGTGCAAAATGAGAAAACTTGGACAGCTTTCTTTCTGGGGAATGAGATCAATTTGCTCGTGGTTTAGTGCTACAAAAGGGTGGTTGTCATATATACCTTTCGCGAAAATTGTTTTGTTAGTAACAGAATATTAAAAAAGTGAGAAACCTGACGCAATATATCTTCTTCTTTGTTTGGACTATGAATAAGGCATGTAATGCGGCCCCTCTACAAAGGATCAACTACAAAAGACCACATTAAGCACACGCGCGCGCATAGACGTTGGTGATTGCCTAGATGTCTCATTTGATTCTCGCAATGGTGCCTAAATGATCGTGCCAATACCCGCATATTCCCGTCTGAGTTCCCGGGTGTCTTCTTTTAAGGGGTCGAGTGTTTGAACGTGAGTGCCCTGAAAACTTCATGGGCGTAAGTCTCAATGTCGCTTAAAGGCCGCTGGCAACGAGAGCTGAGAGTATTTCGCGCTTAAAACAATGTAAGAGTTATATAAGCTGGCACACCGAACAGTGTACTGGCAAACCAATCGGCGAACTCGCAAGAAGCGTTCCCACACCACGACAGAGACGCGTGGAGTATGAAATCAGAGTCCGTACGCTTGAGACTTGTGGGGTCTCGTTGTGGCGAGAGCCACGTTACGCTCTTGGCGTGAACGGACACAATAGACACGGTCGGAACAAACCAAACCATACACATTTATTCAAATACTTTTTGATCACCAATATCGTCAACCGAATTATTACAACAGCAGTTGTGATCAGCACGCTACGACATCCTTACACAATAGTAAAGAACACTCAACAACATGACAAACAATAACACACCCAAGGCGGCGTCGCCAACGTTTGACTTACCACGAGGGCCCACCGCAGACAACCCGTGGTGTCGTCTACGACAGACCCACGCTAGAGACAACCGTTCTCGCCAACCGCCACCAGCCGAAGAGAGCATCTTATGTCTTTCACGCCTCCATTAAGGCTTTCTGCCAGGCGTCGCCACCGGCGCTAACGTTATCTAACAACCATGATGATGATAGCGGTGATCTACGCTCGCGAACCTACCACTCAATAGTTGTGCCCCCAAAACACAGCTTCTGCGCGAAACACGAGCGCCACGCGGCGCAAACAACTTTACAAGGGGTGTCAGCACCCCCACAGACTCACGTGTCCGTTGTCGTCCAGCTGGTTGTTTGTGAGCTTGAGCTTGTCGAAGGAGACCACCTGCTTGGTCCACTGGGCGCCCTTGCACGGAGACTCCGGGTGCACATGAATTCGCGGGGGCATGTTGGGGTCCGCCTTGCCGGCCACCATCCAGCTGGAGCTGCGCGCAGCGTGAAAACTCACCATTTGATCAAGGCGCAACTTAGAGGCCCCATCAAGTGGGAAAATCGACCGTCGGCGCCGCATCAACACGGGTGGTGCAAAAGATCATCATCACGGGGTGACGTAAACCTAGGACCTCAACCTGACATCCCAAGTCGCCCAAAATTTGAAGCGTCATTATGACGCCACCATAATGTCACAATGCATGACCTCACATTATCACGTCATCACACGAAATCGTCACTTGGTCAAAGTTGGACTGAGGCATTGCGAAAACCACGGGAGTTGCAGAATGATTCCGATGTCTTAGCTTCCAAAGAAAGCCAGCTTCAAAAGCATCCAATGTCTTCCAATGAGCTGCTTCCGCTACCGAAAGCAGTGCTACGAAGTTATGATGGACGCGGAAAGCTTTCAGAAGCGGGCAGGGGGAGGGGAAGGTTAAAAAGCAGCATATTTGGCTGCGAAGCACATGATGCCCTTCGCCTTCTAGTAATCTTAGGCTAATCGTCTTAACATAATCTACTTGATTGATATGTGAGCTTTAACGTCGCAAAATCACCATATGATTATGAAAGACGCCGTAGTGGAGGGCTCCGGAAGTTCCGACCACCTGGGGTTCTTTAACGTGCAGCCAAATCTGAGCACACGTGCCTACAACGTTTCCGCCTGCATCGGAAATGCAGCCGCCACAGCCGCGATTCGATCCCGCGACCTGCAGGTCAGCAGCTGAGTACCTTAGCCACTATAGACCACCGCGGCGGGGCATAATCGATTTAAGTCAAACTCCAATCTGGTTGATCTTTAAGCAAGCGAATCATATAATGTCGAAGAATCAGGTCCTACAGCTGAAGGCTGAGTTTTACCTTCAATCTAGTGTCGAAGAGCGGAACCGGCATTACCAAATATGTTATGAAGGGTGAAGTGGAAAGGAAATTAAACTTTATGTCCTCGTACTGAGTGAACAATACATTTCCCTCCGTCAAGCGTACAAAGTGCAAGACGGGGCTCATTGAATAGCGACTCCACTCATTAACACTTGCAGTAAGTCTACCCAGTAAGCGGAGTCCACAGATAGCCCTCCTGGGCCAGTCTATGCATTCTACTGGCCAAAATAGAGAGCTCGGAATACGTACTCTCGCCTGATTCAGAGCACTGTGCTCTGTGTCTGAGCATTCGGAAACACTCACTCCATGCTGGGAGCATGAGCAAGACAAAATTCTGATCACGTGGTGCTGTCCAAATTCACGCGCGACGGTGCTATTTCAGTAGATTTAACGTTTCTCATGATCTCATTCAAAGAATAATTATGACTATTCTCTGTTTATACATTTTACAGCGAGAGCTGTTATCAGATCGCAACGGCAGTGGCAGTGTGGCAGGTGTGCGCCGTTGCCGGTGCCTGTAACCGCTATCGCGAGAAATAAGGAAAAAAGTGTAATTAGGAAAGAAAGAAAAACCGCCATGCCAACGCACAACGCGCAGTTACACCGAAAGCTAAAAGAGTGGCGTTTCAGAGCTTTTTCTAAACACTTTTTGGGTAACTGCTATAAGCACACTTTCAGGGTACCCGTTATGCCATAAATTAATACAATGTTTGTATAGTAGGCCAGCATTCACTACGCACTCGTCGTGATTCTTCGGAGGAGCGTGGTATCCGCTACACACTTGAAAACGATTTTGTGCAATTTTTCTATGCAGTGGCTGACGACGATCAAGTATCCTGAAGCGCCTGAAGTGGCTATGCACCACACTTAATTAGTGATCAAGAAAAATCTTTTGTAATGGGTTGTATCCAGCATTGGACGACCCACTCGTTACGCAATTCGCATTGTCCGACGCCTGGTTGCTCTTTTGTTGTTCTAAATCGTTACATTACTCATACTAACGCGATTCCTTTCCCAACATCAAGCCTGCCCAAGGCAAGGTCACAACAGAGTTTCAAGCACCAGCATTGCACTGCGGCAAAATACTGCGCCGCATGCAGGGTGCCCGGGTGAGAATCCTATTGTGTTCTTGGTATTCTTATTTATTAAGCTTCTTCTTTTTATTTCGTGCCATAGTGGTTTCGGACAGTGGCGGCGATCAACTACAACACCACACATGACCCTTGTACTCTTAGCACAGCTTTAGCTATAAAAGTTATCGAAAGGGACCGCCACGGGCCCTATGCGCGGCAGGCTACGGCAGTGCATCGCTTTGGCTTTAAACACCCCCGCAAAAATATTCTGTACATGTGTCGTGTATGGTAAGAAACCATTTTAACAAATTTATATAGCGTCGTAGAAGAGTGAAATAATAACCAGGCGTCACACAGGGCGAATTGCGCCAGTAGCATGTCGTTGAATGCTTCAAACCTATCATAAAAGGCTCAACCATGATTATTCATTGTCCTCGCCACATGCATATCATTGAGCAAGGTCCGCATCATGCCTTACATATGCGTAGCGGCCGGGTATACCTCGATTATTCGCAGAATGCCCAATAAATGGTACAGTGAGTGCTTCCCCCTACTTCACCTAAGTTACGGTGGTTTATCGGGCATACCTTGCATGCGTAATTTTGTTAGCCGCCCCAATATATGAATTAGATCAAGCACCACAATTTCCTTCGTCATCGGTAATCTTTCTATTATATCTACATCATTCTAAATCTTAACAATTTTTTTTAAAACCACTCGATTCTTGGCCAATTCCCCATAGTAAGTATCGACACGGACAATAGGTGAACAATAACAAGAACTAGTCTGCAACGAGCTCTCCCAGCTCTCGCTGTGCCCATGCTGCGTGTACTGCGCAGACTTAGCAATTTTGCTATTAGACCTAATTATCGTGATTTATTTAAGTTTCAATCAGATATGAGGTCACTTCCACTGGCACCAAATTTTTGCGTTGATAGCAGAGTGGCCAATTGTACGAAATTCTGCAGAACGTAAGAAGAAGAAAAGAAGGGGGGGGGGGGGAGAATCAAACAATAGGCTTCGACGTGTCAAATTCATACATTGCGGCTATGAGGAATCGCGAACGATAGAGGCAGGCCTGCTCGGACTGATTATAACTATCTGGATTGCAGTCTGCCCCCATCAGCATACGGCCTTGGTAGACAGCTAACTGAACCGGTGACCTCGTGGCTAAAGAAGAAGGTCACCGGGTCTCTTTCGCTAAGGCAGAGTCAGCTTCGCCACAGACTCATAATTCGATCGGCTTACGTTAGTTCACGCTCAGGCCACTTGATTCATTGTTGATTCATGCACTAATTCACACGCATGTACGATGATTAATCCTTAATTCGCTTTAAAGTACGTCCTTCTTGGTTCACTTTAAGTACACTTTGAATTCATTTTATTTGAACCCCTGATCACCCGCCTTCATCACAGCTGCATTTAAATTCGAGATAATTTCGGTACCGGTCATGCTCACGACGACGCAGGGCGACGGAATTTTCCACGGTAGGCGTTTCCTTCAGTATGAAAACTCACGTTGATAAATCGGATAACGTAAAAAAAATACATCACGTAAGGTTTACACGCGAACGGTGACAACGTTGTGTGTATTAGTTGGCTGCTGTGAACAGGCTTGATATGCACGGATGACTGACCTGTGGAAGGCGTACCGGTAGCGCTTGTTGTCCACTGGCACAAAGTCCATCATGAGCATGTAGTCGGCGTGCGGGTCCAGCCCGTACAGCTTCACTTGCAGCGTGGGGAACATGCGCCTGCGCATTGAAAACGAAAAACGGAGTGGGCCTTGATTAGGGAGCCGTTTGCAAGCGCTGCGGGCGTAGCGGACGCCATATGAGTTTTGGAATAGCGTTTGCCCTGCTGCGAACCATGCGGTTGCCATGCGGTGCCACATGCGGGCCGCCATCACCGCACGCAATTTCGGATTTTCTGCGTGCGGTCCGCGAACGCAAATGCCGACTCGCGTTACGACGCATGCGCAGTGGCAGCGACAGCACCGCAAGGGCTCGCGGTGCGCTATTCCAAAACTCCCCATTGTTTTTGCAGACGATGTAGATGGTAGACAGTTTATGCTTAGCGCGCGCAACGCCTCACATTGAAAAGGGAACGCTCATAGCATCCACTCATCCATCCACTGGAACTGATCACTACATGGAATGAAGACGTGTTGCGTGTTGTTAAATTTGATAGGAGTTTGATGGTATGACTAGAAAACAGACGGACGGACGGATGGCTGAGCTGAGAGCCCGCGAAGCTTCGTCCCCCTCATCATCCTTCACTCTGTGGATATGTCGTGAATTTTTTTTTCACGTACGCACACGCATGCGAGCAGTACAGTGGCGCTCTATAGACACTTTTCATTGGGTGCATCGACCATGTACCGACCATACCGGGATGCGTTTCGTTCCACTAGGCGCTTCTTATGGGGAAACAGTTTTCGAGTGCTTTTTTAGCGTCATCATGTGGTAGCGACCGTAATAACGGCCACTGGCATCCAAGTCAAACCGAATCGTTGGATCCACGGTTTTGCGTTCTGTGCAATCTCGCGTTCTGGTTGCTCTTTCGTTCGGGATCTCGCGAGATTGTCACGTAACTAGAGCTACGTATCGTTACGTTTGCGTGCACCTTTTGTTTCTGTTTTCTTTTGAGGGGGGGAGGGGGCTTACGCACGCATCCGTGGAATAGATACGTTACGTATTGGGCATGCACACTTCTCTCCCGTAGCCATGCTGCGTACGTAGGCTCGTTACGTGCGCTTAACTAAAAGTGTCTCATATGAATTACAGCACGTAGGCTGTATAATTGAATGGAAGCCAAACATATTCTACACAGCGAAATACCGGCAAACAAGAAATTCGTTTCGCAAGTACACGACCAGTCGAAACAGTGTTTGTGTGACTGATTGTTTCAATGTAGGCGCCACCGTGAAGTGTTGAAGCCGTTTTCTCTCTGGGTATCGTGTTGCAACTCATATTTGTCGCAGTGTATTCACTGTACATCACGCACGCACACACACGTATGCACACATGTAGTACCGGCACGCGCGCACAAACACGGACGTGTGAACACATTGAATCTATCAGTGCATATTTGTAACGAGGGCCGACTAACGCGCGGTCGATGTCGTGTGTCAGCAACCGGGTTGAGCAGCGTGCCACTCCCCTACACGTGACAACATCGCGATACGATTAGTGCCAAGGGGTCATATCCGTTTTCGCCCCATCGACGTATAGTAGGAGGAGGCGACGACCGCCCCTTGGGTGCATGCGTGGGCGCTTTGCGATCGGGCGCGCCTCGCAGCGCGGGGATTAGGCGGAGGACCTCGTGCAGTCGCAGTGAGCGAAAAAGACTGCGACGGGACGTCCCGAGCACGTATAGCCTCGCAATCCGGGTGAATGATTGCCCGGGGGCCGGGAGGGTGACGCACTGCCTGCGCGCGCGCGATGGTTACCACATGGACGGCACGGCTGGCTGCCGCCGTCCCACGCACTACTACTGCCTTTGCTGCTGCTGCGCCCGCAAGATGTGCGGGAGCAAGAGGAGAGCAGTATATAGTATATAAACGAGGGGTGCCCCATTCCCGGGCAAGGACATTTATCGGGCGCCGCCACGTACACCGCAAAGGGCTATAGGGGCCCGAAGCAGAAACACCCATGCCTGCTCTCGCGTGTAGCACGATAAACGAAACAGGCTGGCTTCTCTGGCGTACGAGTTGCACGATGTGCAGCAGAATAAAGCTCAGAGATATCAAAGAAAGACGAGAAATGAGGACGCCGTCGCATACTTGTCACCTGCATATAGCAGCAGGCTGCAAAAAAAAAAAATACTCGTTAAAACCACCTAACCTACACCACATCACCGAGGTTTGAAAAAGGTATACATGTAGTAGGCCACCTGCGAGATCGAGGATCGACTAAAGTCTAATCGCGAGGCCCAAGAACCTAGCTCAAGCTTAGGGCGTCGTGGATTAAGCACGTCTCTTCTTAGCTGTGCTCTATAATAAGGACGTTTATTTTTCTCAATCGATCTCTAATTGAACGGACACCTATCTTCGTAACACAACGCATTCAAGCTTTGCCTGTATGGGTATAAGCATTCATTACGTTCGCTTTGCCACCATTTCTGTTGACAATTCCGAAACATCACCAAATGCGGAACACCAAATAGTACTCTTCATCATCCATGCACTTGTTTCTTTCTAAATGGTGCCACTTTAACCATGCTCGTATGGTGAAACACATAAAAAGTAGTACCACAACGATAAGCAACAATAAGATGAAATGTGATTTTTTGAGTTTTTTTAATTTAAATGAAATGTAATTTAAAAATCTGCGAGTGTATCTGAAGCCTGCTGACTGAAGCATGCCGTGTTTTACCCGCACAACGTCAGTAGTGGTTATTATCGACTATTGTGTTTTTGTAACTACTTGTCAAAATAATACATCATGTAGCGAAAGAGACGTGACGGCGACCGACGAAGTCGTGCTGCTCTCGCCACAATATCTGGAAAGCGAACGACCTAAGCTGGGCGGCGGTGGCTTGGGCGTCCACTCCGGCCAGGAACTCGAACGCGTTCTTCCCTCTAGAGCTCTGGGCGTGAGCTGCGCGAGAGGCGTGGCGTGGTTACGGAAAAATGATTATGGCAATGAGCGAGGATGACGGTATATACAAGCGTACTAGATTGAACCCGCTTCCATACACAGGATGATTCGCACAGGACATGGCGCTACTATACCATCATAATATATGTCCAACCAGCTCCACTTGCCCCACCGCGGTGGTCTAGTGGCTAAGGTACTCGGCTGCTGACCCGCGGGGCGCGGTTTCGAATCCCGGCTGCGGCGGCTGCATTTCTGATGGAGGCGGAAAAGTTTTAGGCCCGTGTGCTCAGATTTCGGTGCACGTTAAAGAACCCCAGGTGGTCGAAATTACCGGAGCCCTCCACTACGGCGTCTCTCATATTCATATAGTGCTTTTGGGACGTTAAACCCCACATATTAATCAATCATCATCAACCAACCAGCTCCACTACGCGGACCCTGATGAAACAGCAAAGTTGGTGGCCTTCCTTCCCTGCATCAGCCCATCGCATTTCTAGGTTTCGCAAGTCTTTCAGGTATGTGGTATCACTGCTCTTCATTAAAGATTCTTTGTTATGCTTTGTGGTGCTAGTATAGCCAGCACCTTTTATGACCACAAAGAGCCACGTGACAGTGACGTCACTATGGTAACGCGCACGTCATTTATTGAGCTCACCATTGCTTCCTTCCTTCTTTAGAGGAAGTTGTGTGCAGGGGGATTTCTGTGGTACATAAACGTTTATGAGATGATAGTTTGCGGATAGGCCTTACAGATTTCTGGGGCAGGTACCAGTTGGTTGGGCGAACGATTGCCTTCATTTTTGGTGGACGAATTGTGAGTAGTGTCCTTTACCGGATGTCTGTGGCGCATATTTATTTATGATACCCACAAGCGTTACCGACGGGTCCTGGACTTGAAAGCTTCGACTAAATACAACTTCAAGGTTAAAATTCGCCATAATTTCCTCAAGCCGGCAGTACCGGTTGACTCCATCGCTGCTAAACATCGCGTGAACACGGTACACATGGGTGCTTCGAAGAGTCAAAACTAAACGCGTTCCTTTTGATCCCAGCAGCGGTAGACCTCTGCGCTCACAGTAGCAGGACTATATACCGGAACGCGTCTCGTTTGCGTCACCGCCCGGGATATATGGATTGCAGCGCCTGGCGCATTACGAAGAAGGAAGACTTTTGTGTATACAGTCGTTATGCGCTCGAACAAACGCCTTTCGCCCGCGGGGCCTTCAAAAGCTGCTAATGAGACAAGACCGCCCATGTTGGTTTTCGGACGCCGCCGCAACCGGGCGCAGCGAAAAGGGCGGTAAAAGAGCGTGTCTGGCACGCTACTCGGGGTTTTGATAGATGGCGCCCCGGAGAGAGGGGACGTGGCGCTCCCCGCTTGCGCGCCGCTTCGTCCGACTTCTCCACTTTTTCCGCGGATACTTTCGTGCAGCGAATACGGGCGCCGCGGAACGGATGGTGGGACGCGGTTAACTCAGGTGGCAAAGAAAGCGTGGCGCAGTGCTTGTAAATACAGCACGGATCTGTGACGCAACGTAGGAAACGGTGCACCATTTTAAACAACGACTCCCAGTTCCGCCTGGCTTCCTTCCCTACCGTTTGCTCTTCCATCAAAGCGAGAGAGCCTATAGGCAAACTCTATGGCGACACGTGCGCTCGGAGGCTTCAGCGCATGCGCATACGCGACTGAAACTGTGTAACTCGCAATGCCGCCAGGCGAGGCTTCCTTTGTACGACTGCTTGTGCTGTAGAGGTGCGCGCAGAACATCTCATTCCCATCTCCACGTTTTTGAAACCGTTGTTGGCTATCACTTGAACGAAGGACGATCGTGAATGAATCTAAGATTTCCTCGACCCAGACGTGCTGTGCTACTGACCATCAACTGGTGTAGTTCTTGTCCCTGACATCGAGGTGTAGCGCGCACATGATGCCCTATGCTTTAGATGCCATGGAAAGCATAGAGAATGTTATTAGAGGTAATTGAAATGTAAATATTTACATATTTATTACTATTGCTTACAAGAATATTTCCTAAACTTTTCTTGGCATCACTGTCTGTTAGTTGTCATTAACGTTTCAGCAAACGAAAAAAATGAGCCCTTTCGGTGGAGGCGGAAATGCTGTAGGCCCGCTTGCTCAGATTCGGGTGCAC